GAAGGAAGGAAGGAAGGAAGGAAGGAAGGAAGGAAGGAAGGAAGGAAGCCAAGAAACAAGCCACACTAAGGCCATACATTCATAAGTAATAATAAGCCTCTGTGTGATTTATTTGGGAGCTGGGTGGTGGGCCCCTCAAAAAGCCAAAAAAGTGAAACATCCTACAACAGGCAATTTTTCAGTATTCACTGGAACTCCCTCCCAATACCAGCCTATGCCTTTCTCTGTTTTATTACTTTCACTCATGTCTCTGTTCTCTTTACTTAATTTTCTAGTCCCCATGCCCCTACCCTGGTAAGTGGTATCCTGGTCAAAGCTGGTCTCCGACAAACAAATTCCCCTGTAGACTTGCCCACGGGTCAATCCAATGGAGACATTTTTTCCTCAGTTGAAGTTCCCTCTTCTCGGGTGACTCTAGTTTGTATCAAGTTGACAAAAAAAAAAAAAAAAAAAAAAACCTACCCAGCACACTCACTATATTAGGGTTTCTATTGTTGTGAAGAGACACCATGACCTTGCCAACTCTTATAAAGGAAAGTATTTAATTGGGACTGGCTTACAAGTTCAGAGACATAGTCCATTGTCATCATGATGGAAAGCATTGCAGCATACAGGCAGACATGGTGCTGGAAGGGTAGCTGAGTTCTATATACAGGTTTGCAGGAAGAGAGACTTTGGGCCTGGCTTGAGCATTTGAAACCTCAAAGCCCACTTCCAGTGACACGCTTCCTCCAACAAATCCACACATCCTAATCTTTTCAAATTGTGCCACTCCCTATGAGCTGTGGAAGCCATTTTCATTCAAATGATCACACCCCTAAACTCCAACACCCAGTCTTTCTGAGGAACTCCAACTGAAAGCCTGGTTTCTCAGCCCCCGGTGCCAGCTTTTGCACCCAACTGTGTTACCTGGGGCAAAATAACTGGCTGTTGTGGTTCTAAGTTTTGTCACACTGAGTCCTGGAGGATTGAAAGGCTCTCTGACATTCCTTCCCTCTCTGTAGCTCTCCAAAATCCCGAACAAGAAACTGATCTTCCTGAGTGTTGAACACAGAGTAAGAGAAGCCTGCAAGCCGTGGCTTCATGGGTTGTATGGTTGTTTTGACATTAAACACCTGGTCCTGTTGGAATCGAAAGATAGACAACATGGTTCTTCTCCCTCTCTTCCAACTCCATGTCTTCACAGCCACAGTCTGGTGGTCTAGGAATTGACACCTTTGTCCCAAGAGCCAAGAGCCCCAACCAAGTATTTTTTATTTATTTTATTTTATTACTTATTTAGAAATTGTTTTTTTATTTAGAAATTGCACTGACAGAGGCAGACCCCTTAACTTCTCACAACGTTCACGTCGCCAACTCAGGATACCCTAAAACCATTTTAGGATTGATCTAATGACCTTTCTTGACCAGAAGTCATTTCTCGCCCTGGGGTTGGGGTGGACAGGTAGAGTGCACTGCATCTTTGTAACTGGGGATACTTCCTCATTGGCCAAAGTGGTGATGGGTGGATGACACGGGGACTTGAGATTCCAGCCACATTTCCTGAGGATTCCTGCTGAAGGCTAAAAACTAGGGCATATCCTCGGCATCCCCAGATCACCTCCATATCCTGTACCTCAAAGCTCTCTAGCGTAGAGACCTTTCCTTTAAACAATCTATTACCACAGAGAGTCATATTTTATTTGTGTAGCTCATTATCCAGGCCCTCACCTTCTGTGATCACGTCGCCAACAATATCCCCACATCTCAACAGCATCTCACTTCCTACTAAGACCTGGGTCATTACATCCCCTAACTTATTGCCATCTCATCCCTGAAGCCACGCTGCTTTTTCATAGGCTCCTCACACAGTCCTCCTGCTGCCTGCTTGTCCTCAAGACCCAACGGAGGGTGACACAGAAGCTCTGACTCGGCGGCTCACTGTCGTCCCTGGGTTAGCAAGACTTCAAGCCCTGGGCTGGAGGAGAAGAAATTGCTGTAGACCTTCATCCCTGACAAAGTCAACCTATAGAAAGGAGGGACCAGTCTACAAGGAAGCCTCAACTCCTCTGCTGACTGCCCTTCTCCTAAACTTCCCAATAGTAGGCTTTGGCCAAAAAGGACACCTGTATCATTATAGTGGCAGTCAACGATCTGTATTCAACTCACCAAGCAGAAACCTTTGAAGGACCATCGCTCAATGTGGGCCTCACCTGACCTTCAGCTTCCTTTAGGGACAATCATGTAGCCTTCCGAGAATAGTCAATGTCCTGATGATTTTGCACTTAAGAAGAATTGTGCTTTTGTTTAAGTATCAGTCTTTACTTGAGCACAAGATAGGGAGTTGTCACGCATGCGTGCACACGTGCCCACACAGCACATATGCAAATTCAGGCAAAGTGCTCAAACAAGTAAGATTTAAAAAACAGCAACAACAACAACTTAAGACGATTGTGCTCAAGCTCCACAAATACAATGAAACTTAATACTGTGGCCATGGAAGTAAATGTATTAATAAATATCCATTGTTAAGTAAGTGTTATACCCCATGACCTTTGGCCTTCATAGCATTAACAGGGAAGGAACCCTGAACAGTGGTGTGTCTTGTTCAGAGTCACGCTGACCACCAGAAGAGAAGGAACTAGGATACAACTCCTTCTATTGCTGGCTCATTTCAGCCTGCACTCTGTGTGGAATCATTCTGGATTGTAGACTCCGGCAGTTCGAGTGCTTGTTTGACACCCCTGGCTCTCAAGCTGGCTCAGCTCAAAGACAAAAGTCTTAGAAGAGCTCATGTCTGAGGACCCTGCTCTCATCGCTTTGCTCGCTAAGGCCCCGAGTGGGAAGATTTTCTTCGGTTTCCCCAGGAGACCCTGTTGTGCAGCTAAAGATAGTAACCCCTGTTTTTATCTTCTCCTACATAAAATAACTAGCTATAACATAAAGTCTCCATATCTTTTGCTGCTCATGATGAGGAGGAATCGCTTGGGGGACAGAGGCGGGGGGAGGGGGTCGGGGGGAGGAGGAAGAGTAACATGGTCCATCTCCTTTATAGGGATGCTCAGTCCCAATTGTGTGCACACTAAACTGCACCTGCTGGTCATGTCCCTGAGACATTTATGAGGAAGAAAAGGTCTGGAAGGTGTTCAGGGGAGTGATAATGGATTGGCCACCAAGTGAGTTCTCAGCTAGCCACTGGGGAGAGGAGCCATCAGACTCACTCGAGCTCCAGACTGTGATCTCAATACAGGTATTTCCACCCAGTCCTGAATTAACGTTTTTTACGGTATAAAAATAAAAACGAAGCCGGCCAGCAGTAATCAGGAACACAACACTGACCCCAAGTGGCAGGAAATGTAATTTTGTCTTCTGTGTTCCCCAAAGAGGTGAGAGTCCCAGCTGTGGGAGCAAAGCTGCAGGGCTCTGACGGAGAGAAAGAAGCCGGTCTGTTTCCTTCATTATCTTTGATGAACCTGATACAGCTAGGGCTGGCTGACAGCGGGTGCCTGCTCTCACCTCAGCACCCCATAGTATCCCAAAGTCTCATGATCAACGCACCTGAGATTCATCGCCTTTAGCTTAAACAGAGGTGGTGATTGACCCCCTAAAGGGTTTTGCCAAAATATTCTAAAGAGAGTTTTTTACTCGAAATCTTGAAACACTTTTTCTGGGTTTGGATGCTGAAAACTCAGGTGGAACTGTGTCCCTAAGATAAAACGCACGTCCTGAAGATTCAAGCCCTCTCCCCGAGGTACCTCCCAACCCTTCTTGGCCGTCTGAATGTGTTCACTTACTGTTATGGCTGATGAGTTTTCAGTGTTGTGATGCAGGAAGTCATTCAAGATGCAGTACAGCCTCTGAGTCCGAGCAGCAGTGGGGGGAACGCAGATGTGGGGGTGCTGCACGAAGCCCAGAGTCCCTGTCTGTGAGGTCACTCTACGTCTTGTACCATGACACTAAATGCGTCAGCCACAACAGTAGGTGAACACACTTAGGAGGCCAAGATGGGATGGGGAGGAGCAGTGGGGGAGACGCAGATGTGGGGGTGCCGCAGGGGTCACGGTCCCTATATCCTAAGACCAAGGCTTTGAAGTAGAGGATGACAGGTAGGGAAACTGAATCTGTTACCAAGCCAGTGGTACAGAGTGGGCATGAGGAGGACAGAGAGTATCAGCAAGGGCAGAGGTCAGGGCCTTTGAAAAGTCCCCCCCACACTCCCCACGTCTCCAATCATCTTGAAACCCCAATTCTGGCCTGCCCTCTTCGGATAATCTTGCCTATTATCAACATCCCTACTTAACATAGTCTCATCTCTTTCTGTTTGGGTGCATTTTATAATCACTTGAAAGCATTTGTTTGCAGCAGATCACTCGCCAACCATCCCTGGTTTCCTAGGAAATAAATGATGGGCTATGGAGACTCGCTTGCATCCATGGAAAAGCAGCCTTCGCTACCGATTTCTCATTGCTCCTTGTACTTAACTCCGTTTAAATTAACGAGGACTTGATTTTCAAATTAACGTTCTCAAGGGGAAATGCATTACATCATGACTTTTCATTTGGAAAGCCACGATACGCTCATTACTGTCTCAATGTCTGTCTGGTTATTAAAGTGATCACTCATGTGGTAAGACAGCAGCCGGAATCCAGGCCAGTGACAAGGGTAGACGGTCTTCCTTCTTCACACACTTAGGCACTGT